TATTGCAGACTCCAAACTATGGGCTTCTTCATTTAAAATAATTTCCTATTTTTTCCATATTCAGCAGTTAGCAACAAATAACTTCTGGTATTTTCTTGAACTTGTTTTTCTTCTGTCTTAAAGTGCCTGATAACATTCATAATTCCTTTTAGCAACTGTTACCTTAAAGGGCAATCTTGAAGAATGAGTATGACCACCAGTATAACAGATGTCTTTTAAAATTAACTTCAATTGCTTCTATATGACCTCTGCTGAGGAAGTAAGACTTAAATTGAAGTCAGCAAGAGCAGCTGTAGATTCTGCTGTTAGATAACAGTGACCTGCATTCCCAAGGGTAGTGCCCATGAATAAGAGAATTGTGGACTTGCAAACAATAAATGTGATTAATGCCAAAATAACTTAGCAAGCACAGCTTCAGACACATAGTGTTGTGACATCTTGGGTCAGAAAGAATAGAAACAGTAGCAACAATTAAAATATATCCACTAGGTAAGCAAATTTCAGCTAGGCTCAAGAGGGAAACTTATACTGAAATTAATTCTGTCATGGTTTTACCAACTTTTTTTCTTTGTTTCACTTCCACTTCTTACATTCTTTATCTCTCCTTTTTATATATAATTATATTTTATAAGAATCCATGATTTTAAATTGCATATATATATAGAGAGAGAGAGAGAGAGAGAGATCAGTTTAGACATCTAAATAATCTAAAATTTTTTAAAAATGTGTGAGAACAGCTTGCCTCATTCACAGAAGCAGTAAAAGATACAGTAGCAGATACAGTGGAAATCACTACATAGCATAATGAATATAACTTCAGCAAAACAGATCTAACATAGGTTAATTATTTACTTATCTGCTTGAGCAGACTTTGTAACTTTATTTTTGCCATTATATATCTCAAAATATGTGCATATTAGTTGACTCGACAGTAGAAATGCTCAGCCTTTTGATCTTAGGATAACTATAAGTATACAAGGGTCATCCTCAGATAACACTCAAATTCAGTTGAAGTTGATATATCAAGACTGCTAACAGTTGTGATCATAATTTTTTGGGTGTGAAGAAGCCAGAAACACTTTACAGTTGTCTCAATGACTGTATCCTATCACAACACTAGATTTTATGCTAAAACATAGTTTAGCTGCAGCAAGGACCTGAACTGTTTCATTCACACATTCATTCATATTTCCTCTTTTATAATGAGTTTATATCCTACTAATACAGATTTCACTGACACTAATACCTTTTATGTAAAATCACCTATTTGTTGTCAGATATTAAACAATTTCAAAAAGTATATAGAAGTCCTCAAATCTTATTAGTAACTGTGTTTGCAGTTAATAGCAAAACACTGATGTTTGTATTTTAATTTAGTATCTTATCACATTTTATTGGTGACCAGATTTTTTTTTGTCTTTCTTAGGAACAGAAAAGAATATCGAAGGATCTGGGCAAATTAAGGTATAGATTTCAGGCAGATAAAGTCTCAAAGTACAGACTATTCAATGTAAATATCTGTTTCAAAATATTCCTCCAATAATATCACAGCTTCACAGTGGATTTAGACTGGTTGTACCACATATCTATATGTTCTCCAGCCATGAAAACAAACATCCATATAGTGAATCACTTCTGAAAAGTATTTACATTATTGGTTTAAATGTTGACAACATACACATTGTGTAATAAATTGGATAAAATAAGAAGCATAGTGCTATGTACTACATGAAGCTTTTGTTCATTATTGTCTGTGCCAGGAATACAATGGAACATGTTGTCAGAGACCAGAACGAAAGAGCACAAAGTGTGGCCCTATAGTTTAAGTATGATATTGTTACTGATTGTTACAAGTGACAGTTTTTGCATTAATATAATGTAGACTTCAGGATTTGCCAAACACTGTCTGAGCTTGTATGCTTGTTTGTAGTTCGTTCTAACTTGATTTGTAACTGCTAATAGTCAGGTAGTTAAAACATATTTTGTCTAAGATTTGTTTGTCCTGGTCCCGTAAGAGCTCTAGTTAATAACTTTCATATAAATAAATAAACAAACATATAAATAAAGCAAAACAAACAAACAAACAAAAACATATTAATGCTGTGTAGAGTGACTTACCTGTAACCCTAAAATAAACAGTCTGAGTAAAGCAGTACAGACAAAAGGTAACAGCAACTTCCTCAAAGGTCTGTGCATAGAAGCTGAGCCCTGAGCTCTTGACAACAAAGTAGCACCCAGTTAGGGGTAATATCACAAACCTAAGATTCGGATGAAAACCTAATGCAGTCACATTAAATGTGTGCTCCACTTTTGTCCATGATGAGAAAGTAGTAAGGGGGAGAGATTAGAAAAGAAGTCTGCAAATCAGGTATGAAGAGTAGAAATAATACAAAGTTATATCAGAATAAAAATCTATATTATGATATGTCATTGAATTGATCTTAGTTTTTGAAGTATGTGGCTTTTAACTGCACAGGTAGGCTCTATTTCTTTCGGATATCTTTCTCAGTGTGTTCTGAGAGGAAATGCAGAATTTGTTCTTCATTGCTTGAGCTTCAATTTTAAATCAGGCCTAGTCCAAATCCTCCTCTGTATGAGTCCAATGCAGATTCTTCACCAATGGCTCCTTTCTATTCACACAAATAATACTTCCTTCCATTTCTTCATATCCAGGGAAACTAACTCATTCTTAATGTTGTGGGGTGTTTTTTTTTTGTTTTTTTTTTTTTTTGTTTGTTTGTTTGTTTGTTTGTTTGTTTTGTTTAATTCTACCTGCTTTCATGTGAGATTTGAATAATTCAATATAAACCAATAGACTAAAAATAAATAAACAAAATCTGTGTATGTACAAGTGAAACTCATGTATGTATATGCCTATGGTTTCTACTATGCTGTGCTTTGAGTGAAACTATTTTACTAGAAATTGCATGAATTCTTTCAGAAATGCTTTGAAGTAAGCACGAAGAATTTTTCTTTTTCAATAAACGAAATAAAATTATTTGATCATCTTCTAAGAGGTTCTGTATAATTATCTAATCATTAAGATCTCTGGGAAAGAGCTAAGGCTTAACATGGCAAGCAGACAAACACCACAAAACCGTTTGCTTCCTCCACCTAAGTGGGGTGAACAAGGGAACTGAAAACAGAAGTTGTGGATCGAGATAAACATTATTTACTAACACAGAAATGGAAAACGGAAATTAAAACACAATGATAGCAATATACAAGAGCTGCTCCAGAAGTAATGCCTCTTATTGTATTATGTTGTCCCACAATGTCAGAATAAGCTTATGAGGTTTATAGCAGTACAGATTGAACCTTCCTGCCAATAGTCAGTTACATTTTGTTTTTGAGTGACAGATGGCAGCAGAGGGGCACTCTTAACAAAATGGCATCTGACATGGAAGTGTGTACAAAGAAAAGGCATGGAATTGAATTCTTCCATGCCTAAAAAATTGCACTCATTGACATTCACTGACATTTGCTGAATATTTATGGGTACCAAGCAGCCAATGTGAGCACTGTGAGGCAGTGGGTGATGCATTTCAGTAGTGGTGACAGTGACATGACAGATAAGCCACATTCTGGATGGCCATGCACAGCTGTCACACCACAAAATGAAACATCTTGGCCAGCTCATCTGCACAAATCAGCACACTGCAATGAGAGAACTCTGTAGGGAGCTGAATATCGGCTTCATCTGGAAATCATTGTGATAACGTTGTAATATTACTGATTTTGCTCCAGGTTGGTCCAATGGACACTCCCATGGTAACAGAAAGAAGACTATAAGCAAGTTTGTCAGGACCTATGGAACAAATATGAGGCTGCAGGTGGAGGTTTCCTAGATTGCATCATTACTAGTGATGAAATGTAGTGTCATCTCTATGAGCTGGAGTCAAAACAGTAGTCCATGAAGTGCCAGCACGTGAATTCCCATCAACAAAAAAGTACAGAAGTCAACTTCAGCAGGTAAAGTGAAGGTTTATATCCCTTTTCCAATTGTTTTGTCAATGCCCTCTTCTTAGAGAGGGATCCCAGCTGTTTAGTTTCACTGCCTGCTCAGTTCAGGTTATTGTTTATTATCCTAGCATCAGCACAGACATATGATAAAATGCTCACCAACATCCTGCTGGCAGTATCACATCCCACCACTCACTGACTGATGCCCAGCAACTCCCAAGCAGTGGCAAAATAACCCTGCGCAACTCCCTACAGCTTTATAGTCTTCTGCATGATGCCATGTATTACGGAATAATCCCTTGACTCAGGCCAGCTGTTCTGCTTCTGCCCTGTTTCTTGTTGTCACATCATAAAGGCAGCAGCTCCTCCCCACTAAGTAATCTAGACCTGTTCTACCTCAGCCTAGAAATGGTTCTGCCACTCAACAACCAAAGCACTGGTGTGTCACGAGCATTGCCTTGGCTGAAAGCAGAACAGAAATGTGCAGATTGCATGAAATTTCAACCTATACGTAAAATAGCTAAGAGGGACTTATTTTCAAGAGCAACTAGACTGTGAGTAGCGATTGTACAATAGGTTCATGCTTAAACAAGAATGTTTGTTTTTACTAACAATTTCTGGAGTCATAATCTAGAATGTTTGTTCTGAGGAATGATAGTAAATGATGTTTACAACACTAAGTATTTTTCAACTATGATGTTTCAATTTATAAATTTATGTTAATTTCTGAATAAGATTCCAATTTTCATAGAATTATAGAATCATAGAATGGCCTGGGTTGAAAAGGACCACAATGATCATCGAGTTTCAATTCCCCTGCTATGTGCAGGTCGCCAACCACTAGACCCGGCTACTCAGAGAGACATCAAGCCTGGCCTTCAACGCCTCCAAGGGTGGGGCATCCACAGCCTCTCTGTGCAACATATTAAAGTGCTTCACTGCTCTCTGTGTGAAAAACTTTCACCTAATATCTAATGTAAATTTCCCTTCTCAGTTTAAAACCATTCCTCCTTGTCCTATCACTATCCACCCTCATGGCCTACAGCCATCCCACCCTGGCAACGCCCGATCTCGTCCGATCTCGGAAGCTAAGCAGGGTCGGGCCTGGTTATTACTTGGATGGGAGACCTTCTGGGAATTCCGGGTGCTGTAGGCTTGTCCCTCTCTACTCGGCTCTTGTGAGGCCCCATCTGGAGTACTGTGTCCAGGTGTGGAGCCCTCAGTACAAGAAAGACAGAGAGATTTTGGAAAGGGTCCAGAGGAGGGTGACTAAGATGATCAGGGGGCTGGAGCACCTCCCCTATGAGGACAGGCTGAGGGAGTTGGGCTTGTTCAGCCTGGAGAAGAGAAGGCTGCGGGGTGACCTCATTGCAGCCTATCAATACCTGAAGGGAACCTACACCCAGGAGGGGAGTAAACTCTTCAAAAGGGTTGACAATAGCAGGACTAGGGGAAATGGATCCAAGTTGAAGGAGGGAAGATTTAGGTTGGATGTTAGGGGGAAGTTCTTTACAAGGAGAGTGGTTAGGCCCTGGAACGGGCTGCCCAGGGAGGTTGTGGATGCCCCGTCCTTGGATGTGTTTAAGGCCAGGTTGGACGGGGTCCTGGGCAACCTGATCTGAATGTGTATGTTTGGTGGCCCTGCTAGGCAGGGGGGTTGGAACTACATGATCCTTGAGGTCCCTTCCAACCCGGGTGATTCTGTGTTTCTGTGATAAACAGCCATTGCTCTCTTGTTTATATGCTCCCTTCAAGTACTGAAAGGCCACAATGAGGTCTCCCTGGGGCCTTCTCTTCTCCATGTAAAACAATCCCAGTTCCCTCAACCTTTCCTCATAGGAGAGGTGCTCCAGCCCTTTGATCATCTTAGTGGACCTCCTCTGGACCCACTCCAAGACCTCCACAGCCTTCTTGCACTGTGGGACCCAGTCCTGGATGCAGTACTTCAGATGGGGCCTCACAAGAGCTGAGTAGAGGCGGACAATCACCTCCCCCAGCCTTCTGGTCACTCATCTTTTAATGCAGCCCAGAACAGTTGGCTTTCCAGGCTGCAAGCGTACACCGCTGGCTCATGTCCAGCTTCTTGTCTACCAGGACCCTTCTCCGCAGGGCTGCTCTCAAGGAGATCTTCCCCCAGTTTGTATAAATACCTGGGATTGCCCCAACCCATGTGAAACACCCTGTACATGGTCTTGTTGAACCTCATTAGGTTTTCATGGGCTCACTTCTCCAGCCTGTTGATGTCCCTTTGGATGGCTTCCTTTCCTTCCAATTTATGACTGCACTACTCAGCTTGGTGTCATCTCCAAACTTGCTGAGTGTGCACTCAATTCTATCATCTATGTTACTGATGAAGATGTTGAAGAACATCGGTCCCAAGGCTGACCCTGAGTGGCACCATTTGTGACTGGCCTCCACCCTGATACAGAACCATTAAGCACAACCCTTTGGCTACGTTCAGCAAACCTATTCCTAATCCATCAAACAGTGTATCCTTCAAATCCGTACCGTAATTTAGAGATACGAATGTGGTGCGAGACCATGTCAAAGGCTTTGCAGAAGTCCAAGTAGATGACATCCATCACCTTTTGCCTGTCCACCAAAGCCGTCACTCCATCATGGAAGGACACCAGATAGTTCAGGTAAGATCTGCCTTTGGTGAAGCCACGCTAGCTGTCTGAAATCACCTCTTTATCTCATACACTTTTCATTAATTAAACATTCTAGTTTTGTTTAGAATACTCAAGATCTTGCTGATCTGTATGTTAAAATGATTTGTTCATTATGCATTTACCAGCAGAAATTAATTATTTTTGAGGATTTAAAGAAGTTGATATGATACCTGTCCCCTTTCAGTGAAAATACAGATGCATAATACTGTTTGGAATATTCCTTTTATGAACAGTAATTCCTCTTTGAGTTTTAAAGGCCTGACAAATATGCAGTCTAAAAAAAAATAATTTTTTTAAAAAATATCTGCTTTAAACTTTGCCTGATTGTAAAGGTATTTAGTTTTCTTTAAAAGTATTAAGACAGTTTGGTATCAGTTTCTTTCTTACCTTGTTAGCACTGTTAATACAATACAATAGTGCTCTTTTATATAATTTTAGATAAATTTAGAATATTGTTCTGTGAATATGAAAACAGAGAAATTATTTTTTTTCTGTATGACTTCTTTTATTTCTACACCTCAAATATATTACCCAAGAATAGTTGTTACAGAAGTTTGTATAACTTTTATAAATGTATAATTTTCATTACTAAAATTAAAATATTGGTGGAAGAACAGCTTTTTAAAGTACATGGTCTGTATATACATGCTTTTGAATATTTCCTATGTCAGAATAAAATTAATCTTACTTGAAAATACATTAATAAAATGCTATTGATTGATGTGATATTAAAAGTGCATTATCATACATATAAGGATTAATTACAAGCATTTTAGATGTCTGTCACACTTGCCATTGAGACATACGAAATCTATTCATATGTTAAAGGAATAAAACATAAGAATCTCGTTAAGTTATATTAAGTTATGAGGAATAGAATCATAGAATGCTTTGGGTTGGAAGGGACCTTTAAGATCATCTAGTTCCAGTCCTTCCGCTATAGACATGGACACCTCCCTCTAGATCCGGTTGTTCAAAGCCCTATCCAGCCTGGCCTTGAACACCTCCAGGGTGGAGCATCCACAACCTCTCTGGGCATATCTATTTTCGCTCGTCATCTCACATCTCAATGTAATGTTAGCTAGAGATATTATTTCCTTTCCTCTTCTTTCATTTTTCTGAGTCTATTGATCCTGATTTTGTTTCACTTTTTTCCTGTACAGGTTTTATAAATGATTTTCTAAATACATTGTTCCGTTGTTATTTTAGATCACAGACTCCTAAAACGGCTTGGTTTGGAAGAAACCTCAAGGATCATTAACTTCTAACCCTCGCCTAACAGGATTCCTTACTGCTGGATCAGGTTATAGATTAGGTTTCCCAGGGCCCCATCCAACCTGGCCTTGAATACCTCCAGAGATTGGTATACTCAGCCTCTCTAGGCAGCCTGTTTCGCCACCCTCTCTGTGAAAAACTTCTCCTTGAAGTCTAATCTAAATCTCTCCTTCTTTAGTTTAAAACTTGTCCTATCGCTTGTCCCCTTGTCCTATCACTATCTTCCCATGTAAAATGTTTATATCCTTCCTTTTTATAATATCCCTTTAAATACTGAAAGGTAAATAGATGAAAGATGAAAATGTTTTATATTGAAATTATGATCTTCTGGATTATTGCTTTACAAATCCATAATACTGCATAGAAAGAATATCATTATATTCTGTGAAGACTTGTGTAAATCTAGTGTGAATGTCTGCTGATTTCAGTAATTGAAGCACACGCTATGTTATGTCTTCAAAGATTATTTGTATGTATGCTCACTAAACTTAAGAATTTTGGGAACAGATATAGTAGATTACATAATTACAAATACTTTTTCTGTATTAAGTGGCTTCAGTCATAAGTATACAACATAACCAGGTCGTTATTTTAACTGTTGTTTGCCCACTGCAAATGTCTGAGAAGTGGTGTGGTTTTTTTTCTTTGCAGCCTGTTTGTTTGTTTGTTTGTTTGTTTTACATGTTTAAATGTTTTATTCATGTTTTGAGACAAAACTGAAAGAATACCAAATGAAAATTATTTTACTGCTTTTTAAAGTCAGTGTATTTCTACAATTATTTATAAGCTTAAAAAGTATAGTTTACCATAGCTTGTGAAAGACAACAATGGCTATGCAGTATAATGTACGAGTTCTGACACCAAATGAGATTAAATGAATTTAGAAAATGGCAGAACACTGATAAATAGTTTTCAGACTATTAAGATGGAAAACTGGCTTAAAATGGAAAACTCTATTCTGCAAAATTGTGAATAATCTATAACAAAAAAGCTCATTAACATTTTGGATTACTTGAAATTTACAGTATAATTTTTTTAGTTGGATAGTTTATTTGACAAAAACTTATTTTAGTCAGTTTGAAATTTAGGTCCCAAATGAGTTCTCTTCAGTTAGACTCCTTGTCACGGAGTTGACCAGATCAATCTATGTCCGTGACAGGGGGGCAACAGGCCTCTGCCCTCCCCCCCCCACCCCAGTCCCACAGAAATGGGAAGAAAGGAAGAGAGGAAAAGAACAGCAGCAACAATCTATGGAGGAAAACTTATTTTACTATAATATCGGAATACAAGATAACACAATATATACAATTTAATTAAAAATGAGATTAATAAATCAGACAAGATGAGAGAATGTTCCCAGGACCAAGTCAAACCTGAAAAGCTTGGAACGGCTAGGAAAGCACCTCCAGCACCCACTGCAAGGCAGCAAGAGAGCGCCCCCCCACCCGGAAGGGCCAGATCCCGTGACTGCTGTAATGTACAGGGATAGGTAGCTGGGATTGGGGCATTGACACTTTAATGCCCCATACAGTACATGATGTTCTGATGTGGAATACTGATTGCTGAAACCTGAAAAAAACAAAAAGCATAAAACCATGACACTCCTGAAGTAAAAAGAGAATAAAAAGTGATTTTACAACTTCTTCAATGTCTTCGGCAGGATATTTTCATGTGTTCTTAGAAAGTTTTTTATTTAATTAGTCTTTCCCAGTCATTGAGGCAATACATTACTCTTCAAGAATGTTTAAGTCAAATTTGACTACATAGTAATGATACATTAATGTGTCACTTGGCCTTTATCTCCAAAATAGCTGATTACCTGTCCTCTTTGGTTACTAAATTAACTTCTGAGAGATCAGATCAGGATGACACTTTAGAGTACAAGAAGTCTATGCCAAGCATGTTCTTTTCTTCTTTTTTCTTAAATTCAAAGCACATTTGCTACTGTTCGGGAAAGTGTAGTTATATACATAATAGTGTTGTTAGTTGCTTTTTGCTTTAAAAACACTAGGAAATTTCTATTTTAATTTCCCTTCTGTATTCCTTAAGAAATTTCATTTTGTGTTAGGAGTATTATTGTTATTAATGCAATTTATTAATTCAATTAAAACTTTCAGAATAATGAATTATTGGTATTTAGTTAAAAAATAAATTATTTTAAATAACTTCCAGGTTTTAATTCAATATTATAGATTTAAAGTGACCTTGT